CTCAATCATGATGCCCGCCCGTCTATCTAGTCCCTCTTTATCTACCGCTTCGTCTTGCCATCCAAGTCATCCAACTTGCCCTGCACATGCCTCCTATACCAAAAGAACAGCTTGGCGAGGACGTGCCTCTTGACAATGTCCACGGCCAGCGCGACCTTCTGCCCGACGGAGCTGCGGTCGTCGCGCCCCAGCACACCTGCGTCCACGTCGTCCTCGTACCGCCGGCACACGTCGAGGTACAGCCTAGGGTCGTCCGTCACGACGCCGTCCACGACGCTGCCGCCGCCACCACGCACGTTGCGCTCGATGCACCACCGCATCCAGCGCGGGTGGTTGACGGTCCAGGCGTACAGCGGGCGGCGGGCGGCGCGCACGTCTCGCATGAACCGCCGGCCCTGGTAGGGGCGCACGAGCGTGTGGAAGGCCATGTTGAAGCCCACGTTGGGGATGGGCAGGAAGTGCCGCGCGTAGGAGAGCGAGAAGCCAATGTGGGCGACGGGGTAGTCCGGCAGGGTTCTGCGTGAGGCTTTGAGCACAGAGGCCTGAGTTTACCTTGTTAGCTGTTCTTGGTCTGGGGGAGGGTGGTCGGAAGTCTTACGTTCCAGCATCCGAGGACGATGCGGCCCTGCCATGGTGTTGAGGCGGGGACTTGGGCTATGGCGCTGCTGATGGCGTTTACGAGGTCTTGTGCGTCGTCGTCGAGCTGTTTTTCTTCCGGTCAGATCATCTGGTGTCCTGTACATTTTTGGGGGGGTTGTGCAGAGCAGAGGATGATGGCGGACCTTGATGTCGAGCAGTACCCAGGGCCGATGGCTGTGCTCGTCGGCTTGCAGCTTGTCGGCTTCGACGAGCCATTCTAGCAGGTCTTGGAGCCGGGGCAGGCCCTGCTTCGGCTCGCGGAGCGTTTCTACGGTGGACAGGTACTCCCAGTCGCAGTCGGCTAGCTTCTTGTCTATGCCGAAGCACCGCGTGAGGGTTGCGTCCTGGAGCGACATTAGCACCGTGGATTGTCGTGTCCGGGCTGGGCAGACTCGCATGCGACAGCACGGCTACGCCGTCCCTGGACAAATGCACGTCCGTCTCGATCGCGTGCGCGCCAACCTCGACGGCGCCCTTGAAGGCGCCCATGGTGTTCTCCGGCCACAACGCCTTGTAGCCTCTATGTGCGATGGCCTGCGGCAGGAAGCGTGCGGGATCTCGCTTGGACGGACGGGCGGTTGTCCACGGGGCTTTTGAATTCCGGGGTTAGCAGATCGAGAATGTCGGCACATATATATATGTACTATATTTCTGTGCTCACCCTCTGGAATATCCCATGAAATGTCGCCCCCTTGCTGCAGCGTATCCTTCTCGTCCGCCATCTTGACGATAATAATGTGGCCCGCGTCGTCCTTGAGCGGCCAGTCTCGGACAGGGCGGCGGCGAAGACGGAGTTTGGAGGCCGGGACAGTGTGGAAGCGCGACAAGGGCGTGGTGGATAAGACGAGGACAGAGGGCGTATAGTGTTTTTGTAGCTGGAAGATGAGGGAGGGGGTGCGGCTCGCGGGATTCATGAAATGTTGGGGAAAAGGGGAGGGGTTGGGATTGTTATCAGATGTGACGGTGGTACATGGTGGTTATTGCTCTATTTGGCGATGCGCATTGCGATGGACATGGAATGTTTGACGGCCCGAGTAGAGAATGGGGTTGCGCCGTTTTGGCGCCCGGATGTACCGGTAGACTGGGAAACTGCCAACATTCGACGGGTAATCAAAACGGGATGGGCGGGTTTGCATCTGATGGGTGAGCCAAACCGTGGTGGCGTTCCGGCGACAGTTTGAACTTTGTGACTTGCCCTGGAACATGCGGTTTGCAGAGAAATGCTGCTCCGTACTTGACAGCGCCATCCAATTCACCACAATGGTAAACGGGCATTCGCCGTTTGCAATTGATAAATATTGATTAGAACAAAACCATGTCAAGCCCGGTAAAGCTGGGGCAATGGCAGCACATGTTCCAAATCCTACACATACGTATACGCCACTGAGAGTATCCAACACTTGCCGTTTGTTGATATATCAGTACCCAGTATCCTTAATCCGACCGAATCCCATCACAGAAATACCAGCATTCCGTCATAAAGAGAAGAAGTCAGAGAAGAAATAAAAATAAAACAACGCTACACCCTCCATGTCATTGGTCCATCCTAAACGCCAGCTAGCACCCAACAAATGTCAAACAATACCGATTCGAACCATCATTCATATTGAAGAGCCAAACAATAGTCCTGGATGAGAGCGCAACAGCAAACCTCAGCCCTTCTCACAAAGGAAATCCCTCGAGGTCGAAGCCATAGGCTTCTGGCATGTGCAATCTATTGAATTCTGCGCTTCCCACGCTAAGGCCCAACTCTGACGGCGCAACTTCTTCGCCAGAGCTCAAACTTTCGTCACTCATGCTAAGCACGCTTTGTGGCGGCTCTGGATTCCGTCCAAAGTCACCCACGTTAATGCTGCTCACGTCCCAAGACTCTGGCGACCAACCAACACTGTTCGAGTTCGCGGGTATTGTCTCACTTGGGAGGCTTGCGCCACCATAGATGGCATCGTAAACATTGTTATCCATTGATCCGAGTAGCGTCTCCCATTCAGAATTGCACACGTCCGCCATCTTTGCTGTAGGGTCGACGACGGCCATCATTTGACCGGACGGCGATACTGACAATCCTGGCGTCTGCATGCGGGACCTTCCAGCGGGTGAAGACGCACCAGTATGAGATGGAGTGTTGTTCAGAGACAAATAATCGAGATTGGGAATGACGCGGGATATCGGAGTCTTGCTGCTGATGCGGGTTGGCTGCGTTACTACTGACAAACGGCGGCCTTGGTAGTTGGTCGATGCCTCAGAAGAGGTGACGCTATCAAAGGACTGCCGCAATCGAGGACAAAAGTTGCTTTCCAGGGTCTGGGTATCGGGCATGGTCATGCGACGCATCCCTTCGTGCTCCTGTTGAAGTTCTGACTTCTTTTTCGAGCCTTTTGAGGACGAACGCTGTGATGGTGCCGCCATTGGTGCTTGAGGTGGAAGAGGGCTTGGATGTTCGTCAACGCGGATAAGATTGGCTGCAATGCGGGCCAGGTCGATGCATCCTGGAGCCTTGGCTTGGTTCATCGACTTGATAGTGAAGTTGACAAGCTTTTCAATGTCGCGGCTCAATTTACTGTCCGCCTTCAGATCGACGACCTGGTAAAGAAGCGTCAGGCCGCAGAGAGCCAGGAGGTCAAATTTATTGAGACAGAACGAGAAGCTCATGTTCCTCTCCTCGAGCAGCTGAACAATCTGAATGATTCGCTTGCTGGAATCCGCAATGGAAATGAGGGCGGGTGCGGCCTTTGCACCAAGGCTAGAGCCAACAACGGGACGGTAGATCAGGGTTCGGATATGATGGTACGCCAAGGCCTGCGTGTGTCATGATTTAGCAAGTGGCCGTTCAGACGGGGAGAGGTGGAAAAGTAAACCTACCAGGATGGGAGATCTGCTCCCAGTCACGTCTGTTGATGGCTTATCTTGAGAGAAGTTGAGTCGTAAATGCGCGGGTAATTCTTGGTACCAAGCATCAAGATCCGCCTCAAAACTAGTCATTTGTTGAAGAGAGAGCTCATGGTTGGCCACTGCAGGATAGTTCTTTTCCAAGATTGCTGCCATGATCCGAGTGGCCCGGAAAAGAGCCAGGGCGCTGGACAATCTAGTATGTTCTCCCGGTAATGTAGGTTGAAATCCCTTCTCGGTAATGTATTCATCATCTGTATCAGACGGATATTCCGTGTGGATATCGTCCTCCTTGAGCATTTTTGGCAGCCCAAGGGTAGCGGCAGTAAAGCTACGATATTGTCAGATGCGATCCGGGCCAAAACATGATACACTGTCCAACTTACCAGTCGAGAGTATAAAGAGTCCAAAATACCTTCTTCCTCGTCTCCAAGGTCAAGGCCCCAAAAGAAAATCGCTTTTGGCTCTGATGCAGCCCGAGTCGGTGGGACAGTCCAATGGCCAGACCTTTGAAGTGCTGGACTCGCTTATTGTCTGCCCTAATCGCGCAATACAGGAGCGCAAGGATGAGGCACTGGAGCGTACTCATGGTGTTCTCCAGAACCATCGATTCAATAGCTTTGGTCCACTGCTTTTCGCAAGCGGCCAGTTGCGGGTAGTCGGGTTGTTCAGATGAGACTCCGGCAATGCTAAAAACAAGATGCAGCTGTGCAATTTTGTGATGGCACTTGACCTTTTCAGGATCGGCCACGAACTCTTCGTAGATGCGAAGAAAGGTAGGCTTATGCAAAACCGGAAATAGCGGCGCCCACTCCTGGAAGTAGACGTTGACAGACCGGTCAGAAAAGATGCGAGGAGGTAGGCAGGAAACGTGGCTAGGTTCTTCTTGAGTCAACGGTGCGCATCCTTGAACGTGCAGAAAGGCTTCTGGATTAAAGTCATTGCACGATTTCCCCCTCTGTCTAAGTTTGTGCTTGAAGGAGGCTGTTGGAAGACGGTTAGTTGGCGCGGCTACAGTGAGGCCCACGATTGGAAAGTCGACGTACTGATAAATGAGCGGCCACTGGACGGGCCCATGAAGTAGGAGTCTGAATTCTCGACGCCAAAAAGCAAAGGCGAGCCTTGTACGCGGAAAGTATCCTCCTTGGCAGTAGATGCGGGACTGTCCTTGGAGGTGTCTGGCGAGGGCAGTGTGTTGGAGGCAGATGTGGGTGATGGTTGGCGATGGTGGTTGGCGTGCATGGCGGAAAGCATATCTATCTTCTCGTCCTTTTCATCCAACAGGTCTTTGAGCTCTCTGACCTCGGTTTCCAAATGCCGAACTCGCTCCTCTAACGACTCTGTGTATCCGCGGGGAAAGGCACGGCGACTCAGCTTGTCGCTGGTCCGGCACTCGAAGCCGACATTGGCACATTGTGAGCAAGTCGGACGAACGCCATCACAACGAATTTTCTTGCTGCGGCAACGGTCACAGGCCTGGGCAATGCGGCTTTGAGCGCTGTTGCCCACCTTGATGACCTTCATCGGTAGGATGCCAGGCATTTTGGCAACGTCCCGGTATGGACTTGGTAGATTGCAACGTTGCGTACGTACTCGTGTCTTATCGAAGTGGAAGGCGGGCAAAATGATGTGTATAATGTGTAGTGTTGAAAACCCTCGAGCCCTTGAGCTCGTTCTGCTCGGTAACTTTGCAGGTTGGGAGTATGCGCCGAGGTAAACGTCGATTGGCGAGTTCACGCCAGGGCTCCCCCCTCGTACCTTTTGTCTGGGCTGCGCTTCTCGAAGACGCCGGACAAATTCTCAACCCGGGTTTCTAGAACGACGATGCAGGCTCTCTTCTTCTTCTGTTCTTATTGCTTCTGTTTCGTCCCGGAACTCGCAAAAGATGTTATCCGCAGTCCCTTCTTTCTGACCCTCTGGAAGTTTGTCGTTCTCGGCGTAGGCGGGAGGACGCAACAAAGAGTCAAGTTGGCGTGCTCGTCGCCAGAGTGGGGAGGTTTATTCAAGTCGGAAGAGAAGAAGGGAAAACGTGGGATAAGTAGGAGTGGGCCGGGAAGGGACAGCGCCAGAAGACAAAGGATGTGTGGAGCGGACAATGAAGTGATGAAATGGGGATGGAGATGGACATGTCCGGGGCAAGATGGTCATGGTCGGACTTTTTTGACTGTTCAGGCCGTTGCTAGCGTCGACTGTTTGAACGTCCAGGTCTACTAACTACTTTACTTAAACCTACTTAAGGTACTTTACGCGGTTCGTCGCTTTAACGCAATGTTTCAATGTTCCGTGCGGAGATCTCGGGGTACATGTATGTACTGAAGTACATACGCACAGGCTGCTAACATCGAGTGTCCATGTCCATGAAAGGATTCCGGGGAAAGTCTGGTGCAATCGGGATGCGTGACCAGGCGCTGCTCTTGGCTTCAATGTTCCCCGGTCTTCAGGACGCAGCACTGACCTGGGTGCGATTGAGCCAACGGGAGGCGGGGGATTACGGGTCTCCGAGTCCACGGCGCGTCCACGGCCCACGCCCAGATGCCTTGTCTGGGGCAGCGCAGGCGCCATGCTGGTTGGCGCCAGTCGCCCTTACGGTCTTAGCCGAGCACTGCCCAGTCGGTGGCCGCTGCAGGTTTGCTCTCCCAGTCCCCATTTGATCGTCAATCCATCACCACGACGCAGACGCCACATCACCACCAACTGGCGCCTCCCCTCTACCCGGCAGATAATATCGGCTGATGTCGGACTCTGCCTTTCAACACGACGCGACCAACGCATTTTGCCAGATATGGAAAGACTTCATCCATCATGATGCGACACATCTGTCTGGGCCATTACCCCATCACCCCATTACCCTCGACTTGAATCAGCCCTGTGTCTGCCTTTACAACGACGTGATTCATACGGTGTTGGCTCATTCTCCAATGATACCAATTGAGACAAATCCGCCATCGTGGCATCATAGTGGATAGTCTTGCGAAGCCATGGAACGCTGCTACGAGCTGGTCGCTCCATGTCGCTTTGCTCAATA